CTTTAGACTCCCGTTAAAATTAATGCATGAAGAACCATGCTTTACTCATGATATTCAGATACAATAGAAACAATCCTACCATATGGCTATTTAAAAAAGGTTTGCTGATTGTAACAACCAAATCACATTTGTCTCTTCTCTTTAGGATATGATGCATTTAACGAAATTATCACCAAAAACACACCCATTACCCAACATTCACCGTCCATTAACGCACTTGCAAGCAAAGATTTGTACTTGAGTTGAGAAACTGTCCATCACCTAGAAAGTTATATTCGTGTCTCAACGCAAATATGCACTTGGTTGGTTGTTAATCTAAGTGACACTTGAGTTGATAATCTTTGTGACAAGTAGGGAATGATAAATACATATGCTTGAACTTTTGGGCAGTATTGTTATATTGTAGCTAAATATATGATTCTGGTAATGTATTCCTCCATCAATCAAGAAAAATATATCTTCAACAAACATGGAAGAAGACAGAATTAGGTGATGCTTTATACCTTATAAAGCATGAAATCTTTATCTTAAGATAGACAATACATACATTACCCTCTCTCTGTGTGCTTATGCTTTCTTTCTTTTGTAATAGAACCAAACACATTTTTTCCCACTTCGTAGTGGTTGAAGAGTGTATTTCTAATAACTTGTACCATCTGTATTTATTTATATGTTCTCATTACCCCTTTTCAATAACCTGCACTATTTTAATATTCGAGTTAAAATGAATATCTATTTTACATGATATATAAAATCTACCCCGTATGTTTTTTTAGATGATCAAATATAGTTTGAAAAAAAATCCCAATAATGAAATACAACAATTAATAAACGTTTGTTGTTGGACGTTAATATCCTCTCGGTTTTCTTGATTATATTACAAAACCCCATCATTTTGATTCTTGTCTCTCTCTCTCTCTTTTTTTAATAAAATAAAATAAATCTCATAACTTGAGGTGGGCATGTACCTAGGAGGAGGAACTCTGTTGGGTGGACCATCTAAGCCATCATTTAAAATTAAAAACCAAGATTACTGATACTGTGAGAAGCATCATCATATCATATGAAGCCTGAGCTGTCTCCCCAACCATAATGTGTACTATCTTACAAGTTAAGGTTAAACACAATGAGATGTTTGGTGTACTTTTACAGACATTCATCAGTGGCAGTGGTTCCAACTGATCTTGCATGAAGTTTGTTATGGACTTTTATTTTGAAGAGTCTCTTTCACTACACAATAATAATAATAATAATAATAATAATTATTATTATTATTATACCTCCGTCCCGTTCATTTTTTTTCTTTCAAATTTCATGCGGTACTGAAAGAATTTCTAATATTATTTATGGTAAATAGTTGTAGTTTATCTATGCCTTTAATTTCTTATAAATAAATCTCAACCGCCCGAATTTATTTGTTTTTTAAAAATCAATTTCTGTGCTAATGAAGATTCGAGAAGTCGAGTGGAGCACAGAAAGCAATAGAGAAGAAGAAGGAGATAGCATCAGCAACATGAAGGTTGAGAAGAAAGGGGAAAAATATCATCTTTCTCCTTCTTCTCCTCTTCCACTGGATAGACTCAATCTGTAAGTATCTATCAATGCCCACTGGGATTCACACCAGATTCTCTGTTTCCGGTTGACTTATTATTATTTTCTTGCCAATTATTCTGTCCTCCACTAGTATTTTTCTTTTCTTTTTTTTAAAATTTGGGTAAACTAGCTTATTTTTGCATGTAAATTTTTATTTTATTTTTAATTTGATTTTTTGGAGCAGTGAAACATGGAAAGGGACAGCAGCAGAGACAAGCACCAAACATGAAAACAACCCACTTTTGGCTTTATTCAAGTCCTTCATTTCTGCCATTGTTAATCTTTTGCACTGAAGATTTAAAAAAAAAAGAAAAAGAAAAAAGAAAAAAAAAGACTTCCCTTTGAAGGGCAGTTCTCATCATCCTATTCATATGTGTTTCAGTTATTTACCTTTATGCCTTTCATTGTCTTTTGATATAATCTGTTATATATATGCAGAGATGAAACAGTGTAGACATGGATGATGATCTTTGGTTACATGCTTTCATTAATTTAATTATTCTTAGAGTTTTTTTCTTTCCAATGTGTCCATCTGTTACAGTACATGTGTAAAAAGGTAATTGATTTGTTTCCCTTTTTATGTTTCAAGGATTTGTTTGTTTAAAGAAAAAAAAGTAAATACAATTTAAAAAGTTGATATGATTGTTGATGAAATTTATATAAGAGGATAGTAGTTGCTATGATTTCGGAGGTCATAAGTTCGATCCCTAGAGGAAACAATAAATTTACGTGGTTATCGGGTTGAAAATATATGAATAAATATTACGCTAGAAGAAGTAATAGAGTTTAAAAAAAGTTGCTATCATCATTATTACTCCAAAGAATACAAATACTTCTTCCGTCTCTAAATATTTGTCACACTTGTATTCCCAAGACAAAATATTACTCCCTTTGTCCTCCAATTTTTGTCTACTTTTGTCTTTTGAAACTGTTTATTTAAGCACTTTGACTCATCAAATTCTCTCAATGTGTAAGCCTAAATATAGTCATGTGTGATCTTGTTTGATTTGTCTTAACATATAAATTATTAATATATAATTTCTATAATTTTTTAATATACAAATTACAAGATAAAATGGATTAAAGAAGTGCATTAGATGTGTATAAAAATGAAAGTGGAAAAATACTATGGGACGGAAGGAGTAATTTTTTTCAATTCATTTTATTTACATATTGGTATAGAAATAAAAAATAAAATTTACATATTAAAAAACTACATGAAAAATTCTTCGAAATAAGAGGTGTCAAGAATATTTTATTTTATCAAATAACCAATGAAAATGTAGAAATAAATAAAAGTTTCCACGACTGCTGAAAAAGCAAATGTTGCAAATATTTAGGGACGGAAGGAATAAAAAAATATAGTGGGCAGAATTGGGTATTTGTCATATTTACTCCAAATTTGGCTAAATACACTTCAATTTTTGTAATTAAATAAACAATTTGACTCATAAAAATATAAAAGAGTTGATTTATCTAAAAAGTGTAAATTTAGGCATTTAGCCACACACCCAATTGTCTTTTCAAGTTATGGCAAAAAATTCACATTTTTTTCACCTTTAATGCATTTTCTAGTCTCAGTTCTTATTTTTGCATCACAACTCTTTCCAACTATTCCTTCCGTCCCAAAAAGATTTACACGTTTCAAAAAAATTGTGTCCCACCCCATTTCTATTAAAAAACCACTTTTACCCCTTACTTTTTCAAACCCTACCTATCACATCATACCTTTTTCCTAATAATCTACACATCACATTCTACTTTTACCCATCACATCAAGGGTATTTTTGAAAAGTCAACACAAAATTATCCCTCCCTTAATTTCTACTTTAGTCAAAATGGGTAATACTTTATGGGACGGAGGGAGTATATTATTATTTTTTTTGTTTTCTATTTCAAATTCTTTTCACCAAATAGAGTTTCCAGTGAAAACAAATGGCTGTGAAAAGGAAAAAAGAAATAAAGGCAAATCTATCTTATATATTATCTCCGTCACAGGGTATTTGTCCATTTTGATTTTTTCAAGTCAAATTAGACAAACTGTAGACCTCAATAAATCAAAGAAGATAATATATTGTAGTATAAAAATTATTTCAATAGATTTATCTTGTTGAGAACTTTTAAAATTTTAATTTATTGTATTGATATGCAAAACAAATTTAGACTAATTGATGATTAAAGTTCGTCTAATTTGATTTAAAAAGTCAAACTGGACGTTTACACTGGAACGTGGCAGTATATATGGCAATGATTGATGAGAAAAAAGAGAACAAAATGGAAGTTACAGCGTGGAAACTTGGGCTCATCATTTCCATGTGCAAACAAAACAATAGATATTAACAACCGTAAAAAAACGTACGTAAAAAAATACACACAATCTCTTGCATGCATGATTGATTGATACATATTCTTTTGGTACCATAAAATTTTATGGATTTTTTACTTTTGGGAAGTTAAAAAAATATTAAAACTGAAAAAAAATATTATATGTATATAACGTTTAGAAAAGCAAATTCTTTTTTGACGGATAAAAAAAGAGTTAAAATGTTTTTACGGGACGAGAGAAAAAATGCTTAAAAGAGTGAATTAAATAAATAATACACACACTAGTATAGTATAGTAGTATGTATAGTACTCACTCTCTCCCACATTTTCCTCTTCTGGTCCCCTTTCATTTCCAATATTTATTTCCATTTATGTGATCTCTATTATTGCTCCCTTTTTCTTCTTTCTTTCACTGCATAAATTTTAAAAAAAAATATCACCTCAATGAGTTTGTCCACTTTGATGTTTCACGTTTTCTTTGATAAACGTTTGATCATATCGTTACACTATGTAATACTCTGATACAGATAGTTATTTGGAATATTTTAATTAGTTATATTATTATTTAGTAGGGTAGTTAATTATTATTATTTATCAGTATTTTATAGATTAGCTAGGGTTTTTGTATGAGCCCGAACCCATTAGGTCATGTAGGTGTGGTGTCTCATCTCTATATATTGTAATCCCGTTTTATTATTATTCAATCAATCAATAATAAAGAATTCTCTTAATCTCTCGTCTCTCTTTTCTTGGAGTCCGGAAACGCTCGAAGTTTTCCATCTCTCTTTGCCTCCCCTTTCTTGGAGTTCGAAGGTAATACATCTGGGGGCTTTACCCACAGGGTTTGACGCTCACCGTACAGCGCACCTATTTATTGACATCGCGGTCAAGCTACATGGGTTCCCGAAATTGATCGTATCAGATCGGGATCGCATCTTCCTTAGCAACTTTTGGCAAGAAACGTTGAAGGCCAGTGGGACAACGTTGAAGATGAGCACGGCATTTCACCCCCAGACAGACGGGCAGACCGAGGTAATGAACCGAGCAGTGGAACAGTATCTACGGGCGTTCGCCCAGGACAAACCCGCACGTTGGACGGTGTTACATACTACCCTGGGCCGAATACGCCCTTAACACGAGCGTCCACTCTGGATTGCAGATGACCCCGTTTGAAGCCTTATATGGACGGCCGCCTCCCACCTTCTTACCTTACCGCCAGGGGGAGAGCAAGGTGCCTGAGGTGGATAATTTCCTACAAGAGCGGGACTCTCTATTACAACGGTTGCGAGAAAATTTAAGGGAAGCACAGCAGCGGATGACTACAGCGGCTAACAAACATCGGACAGAGTTGCGGTTTGTGGTAGGCGATTGGGTATTGTTGAAGTTGCAGCCCTACCGACAGCACTCCGTGGTTCGCCGCAGCTCCCAAAAACTTGCACGCAGGTTTTACGGGCCATACCGGGTGCTGGAGAGAATTGGGGAGGTGGCTTACAAACTAGAACTTCCTGCGGAATCAAGGATTCATCCGGTGTTCCACGTGTCACTGTTACGGCCTTATTATGGAGATTCCCCGGAACAAGTTCAACGGGCATTGTCGTCGGAGTTTGTGCATGGTCAGCCGCTATCCGAACCAGTGAGGGTGCTCGCCGAACGGGAGGTCTTGGTAAAGGGGCGGCCCTTGAAGCAATGGCTTGTGGAATGGGAGGACGGTGGACGAGACGACGCCACGTGGGAACCGTATGAGCGCATCCGGCAGCGGTTTCTCGCGTTACACCTTGAGGACAAGGTGGCTTCGCAAGCGGATGGGAATGTTACGCATGGGATGCATGGGCCGCAAGAGGATGGCATGACGAGCAAGAAAAGGAAAACGGGTCGGGCCAAGATGAAGCAGGCCGAGGAAGCTAGGGTTCGCAAGGAGGAGCGTGGGGAGCCACGCGTGCGTCGGGAGAGAAGACCCCCGGGTTGGCACGGGGATTATGTTCTTAAGTGAATTAATAGTTTTATATTTAGTTTATATTTTAATTACTTGTAATAGATTTTCTTAGGTGGACGTATTATAAGTCCCTTCAAGGGTTTTCTTTTCGGTTCTTTCCCTTGACGCCTTTTTTGAACCGACAGGGTAGCGTATGATTAGGGTTTTCTCTTAATTATAAATAGGGATGTACTCTCCTTGTTTTGGCATCGAATAATCAAAACCCTAATTTACTTAACGGAGTTCGAAGGCACTCGAAGCCCTTCCCATCTTTTACGTATCATACTCCCTCCGTTTTAAAATGGAGGTCTGTTGCGGTTAATAACTGAAATCATTTTTGACTCAATTTATATAAATATTAGTGTAAAACTTTGAAAAAAAAATATATGTTTAAAAAACTATATATATCAAAAACGACACAATTTTTTTTTCAAAAAAAGATTGAATTTGATATGTGAATATAGTAAAAATGCAATCCATTTGGAAACACTTGCTTATTGCATTTAAAAATAGTCTAATCGAAATATTAATGAAATCATCACTTTATTTTCTCAAATATTTTTTTTAAAAGTATAAAAAGATAAAAAGTCCAAAGCATGGCCATCCCATCCCCTGTACTGTGTGTATTTAAAGATGAATTGTGTGTAGATCCCAAAACTGGGACCATGAAAGTATATTAAGGAGTATGTCTTTCTATGAAAATCCAAGAATATACTTTCATCCGTCTCATAAAACCTTTCTCTTTTCTTTTTTTATCCGTCCCACAAAACACTTCTCATTTCTATTAAAAAGTCACTTTTACCCCTTACTTTTTCATACCCTAACTATCACATCATACTTTTTTACTAATAATCTATCCATCAAATCATACTTTTACCTATCATATCAAAGGACATTTTTGGAAATTCAATACCAAAATACACTCCCCTTAAATCCCTCTTAAAAAGCAAAACTCTCATGTTTCATGGGACGGAGGGAGTAATTATTAAGTCATACTCCTTTCATTCAGATTTAATCTTCTCATTTGATTTTTTTTTGTAAAAATTTGTAAAATTTGATCTCAAAATGTAGAAAGAAGAAATTGTATGTCGATAAAAATGTAAATAACAATAGTTTCCTTTTGAAACGTTATTTTAACATTTTAATTTTTTTATAAAATGTATTTATAAAATTGTGAAAAATAAAAAAAATTGTGGATAGAAGGAAAGAAAAAAAGTGAAAAAATTGTGGATAGAAGGATAGAAGGATAATTTTTTTAAATAAAATGTCGATATGTATCATTAGAAATCGTGAAAAATAAAAAAAAATGTGACTGTGAGAGTACATTGGTGTTTGGTGGATAGAAGGAAAGAAAAAAGTTGGATGAAAGAATTTACACCGTACTATATTCTATATATACTCTTCTAAAGAAAGAGTGCCTTGGGAAAGGAAATTGATGATGATTAGGACTTGACCCTTGAGGGGTATTTTTGTACTTTAAAGAGTATTCTTTCCCTCCTATAATAAGTTTTATAATTGGTGTTTGGATAGATAGAAAATAAGATGGAAAATCTTCTCCTCTCTTTGTGCACTTTTCTCTTCGGTTTCCCGGAGAAAATTTTGAAGGGAAAAGTCACCCTCACTCTCTTTCTTCCTCCCATTTTCTTTTCTTTCCAAACAAGAAAATTTATATTAGGATTTGTGTTTTCTTTTCCTCCATTTTTTTTCTCTCCTTCCAAACAAATGCTTAATCTTTCTTTTATGGCCTTCTCAATGTAAAGTCTATACCTTTTATTTTAAAAATTTCTATAATGATCTTTTCTAATAAAATATTTTTCTAAATTAGTCTTCAATTAATTTTAATTATCTATATAATACTTTATAATTGAGATTTATTTGCTAAGTAGTCTTTTGTAGAAACATCACTTATATGACCATTTATTAGAAGATATTTTAGTATTTCCATTAACACTAGTACGTTACCCAACCCTTACACCGGTTGGGCTATTTTGATTCACGTGAAAGAATATTACTCCCTTTTTCCAAATTTAAATCGTTCTTTTGGTTTAGATGTTTGGCTAGCTAGGTTTGTTTAAATGCAATTTATTACTTCCTCCGTCCCTAAAGGATTTTTCCTTTCATTTTTTTGTCGTCTCCAAAAGATGTTCCATTATCTATTAAATAACTACTTTTACCTTTTATTTTTTCATATCCTACTTATCATATCATACCTTTTAACTATTAATCTACATATCACATCTTACTTTTAGTCATCACACCAAAGATATTTTTGAAAAGTCAACACAAGAATATTCCTCTCGTAAATCCTCAAAAAGTCAATACGGGAAGATGTTTCAGAGACAGAGGAAGTAGAAAATTGGAGCGGAATTAAAAAAAGAAATTTTACATACTTTCTATGTTCTTAAATCACTTACTCTTTGCGCAAAACAAAGTAATATTTCAAGTTTTTTCAATTCATTTTATATAAGGATTGATATATAAATAAAAAATTACATATTTAAAAAATACATCAAAAGATCTACAAAACTAGAGGTGATAAGAATATTTTATTTCATCAAAATAGTCAATGAAAACACATAAATAAATAAAAGTTTCCGCAATTTTTGAATAGTAAAATGTGTAAATCATTTAGGACATATGGAGTATTAAAAACATTCAACAAAAATTTTACGAAACAAGATGTGACATGATTATTTCTTTTATCAAATGAGTAACGAAAATAGGAAAATAAAGTAATTAAATAAAATTCGACCATGTAAGTATGTAATAAATATGCAACTTAAATTTAGGAGAGACCAAATACTACTTCAATTGGTATTTTATAGTGAAACTTTAACGAATTCGGCAACTTTACCATCATGTTCTCCTCAACTTATTCTTTTTCCTTATTATTTATTCTTATTCAAATCAGATCACAAACAACTTTAAATATAATTACATTCAGATCACACCAGATCAGATCAGAACTTATTACAATCAGATCAGAACCATTCAAATCAGGTGAAGAGAACATGTCCTAATATGACACCTCAATTTGAGATGGAAAAAATACAAAATATAATTTCTTTTATTTACTACCTCCACCCATAGTGTCCTTATACCGTACATCTGGATGTACGGTGTTTTCCATACATCCACGCGAATACTCATTTTCGAATAAAAGAATAGTTGCTTCGCATATTTTTTTTTATATTTCAGCATCAATTCAAAGCATGTACATAATTAATAAGCTATATGTTTGCTAATTTAAGAACTAAATAATGCACATTGTGTTTAAAGAATGTATATTTACGACTTAACCAATACTTATTCCAACTAAAATTCAGATGGATGTAAAGTCAAAATAAAAATATGCAAAGTAAGAATTGAGTTACTTGTATTAGGAATAACAGATGTATTAAGAAATTTAACATTATTATTTATTGTCTTCCTTATTATTACATTAGTTTCTTATTGTATTCTTACTATAATTCTTCTCTTACTTAGATTAGAATTCTCTCTTGTAATTTTCATATATAAGGATATATTCTTCACTATTCAATGAGATCAATTATTATCAAATTGTATCAACTTGCAAGCGAGCATTCACCGCATATATATATATATATATATATATATATATATATATATATATATATATATATATATATATATATATATATATATATATATATATAAACTATAAACCCAGTTATACAGTGTATCTTGCCCCGCTCATGAGATAAATAATTTATTTATTTAGCACCCCCATCTCAGTATATTCGCCCGGTTTGTTTTTTAGTCAAACTAGATAAACTTTAGAACTCAATTAAATAAAAACTATAATATATATATATATGTATATAAGTATAAAAATGATTTGATTACATTTATCTTGTTTAGAACTTTCATAATTTTATGTATTTGTATTAATATGCGATGCAAAATTAGACAATCGATAATTAAAGTTTGTCCAATTTGATTCAAAAATGAATTAATACACTGAAACACGGAAGAAGATTTTATATATTACATTTTTTTAAATTTATATACTCTTAGGGCCTGTTTGGGAACAGCGTTAGCGATTAACGTTAGCGTTTTGAAAAGGCTATCTACGAGCAGCGTTTAGCGTTTGCGTTTTCAAAGTAATCTGCACCGTTAAAATTTTATCCAAAACGCTAACGCTAATCACTAACGCCATTCTTAAACAGGCCTTTATTATATTGCATTTTTAAATTTGTTGAAACAGAGGAGTCATTAAATTAGAGGGGACAGAAATGTATCTATTGTAGTGTCTGTGTTGGGATGTGTAAGGGGGTGGAATTCAATGTGTGCATTAAACTTGTCAAATAATATTCACACCCCTTTCTTTGTTTTTCATCTCAACATTAATTTGGTAACATATGTTTTCACTTTCCATTCTCGCTATGGCCATATAAAATGAACTAGAATGGTTACATTATTTTACCCCTCCCCAAATTTATATTTTTATTAAAAATTCACTTTTTTAGGGGTCACTTTTTAAATTGTTCTTTCAATTTAAACGTCTGATGTAAATATATTTTCATTTTCTAATTAGGTCTATATTGAAATTAGATGATCTCTCTTTTACATTGTTCGTCTTCCTCTTTCACTCTGATCTTACGTATTTCACACTACAATTTATCTCATTAACCCTTCCCCCACAATGTTAATACACTACAAATTGATGCCTTTTTTTTGTTTTGAGTTATTTACCTTTTTGATTTGCAATCCCTTCTTTATTAGTATGACATTGTTTGGGAACAACTTTTCCGATTAACGTTAGCGTTTTTGATAAAATTTTAATATTGTGAATTAGTTCTGAAAACGCTAATGTTTTAAAGCATCTGTCAGATAGCATTTTCAAAACGTTAACGCGAATATCTAACTCTGATGCCAGACGGGGCCTGTGGTATATAAGTGGAGTCCTTGGTAAAGAAGAAACCAAAGGAGGACCACTCCTACCCGACCAGTGCCTATCAATATATGACCAACGCCGACAAACAACGATAGCACCTACTACTCTCTCTATCATTTGTACCTCCATTTAACTCTCTCTCTCTATCTCTCTTAAATGAAAAAATACTCTTAATAATCACACAAAAATCTATCCCTCGTTTTAAAAAATTAATATTCACGTGCAAAAATTTAAATAAAAAAAACATATCTCGCGTAATACACGTGAGAGGGGCATGTTATATATTTGAATATAACCCTTTAATTTCTTGGATC